CCTGGTCATGACATAACTGCCAAACCGCTAAGAATTTACTTAGAACCCAAGTTAACACATAGCCATGCCCATCACTGCGCGTTACTCTCAGTTCATCACAGTTGGTTACTGTGAGGCCTATGTTGTTATGCGTGAAATAGTCAGATATGAGAGTTTTTACTGTTGTCAATACGAAGTGTCGGATAATGGGATGGTAAGTGAGGAGCAGGTGTCTGTTTTAAAACAAAAACAGAAGTGCTCCTGGTACAGGCAATCCTTAAATTACTAACAAGTTCCATACCTAAATCTAAGTCTTAAATTGAATTTGTACATAAGGCAGAGCAGTTAGGTACCATTCATAACATTAGTCAATCAAGTGTTTATTTTAGTAATAGTACATAGTATTCCTTTGTATACGTGAAAAAACATAAAAAAAAACACTTCCAAATTCATTAAACCCATCTTTCGCACAGTTATAGTAATCGTGAGTAATGTGTTCATGTACTTTGCAAAGTAGCTGTTTATTATTGGCAAACATTGTCAGTATCTCAAATTTTAAATGTAATGGACTTTATAGGGATTACTTTGTAACAATGGTTTATGTAAGCTGGACATTTGTAACTGGGGACTGCCTGTAATTATTCACAGAAAATTTTCAATACTCTTTTTTTTAATCCATTGAAATAGATTTGTTTGTAGAAAAAAATAGTACAGAATATGGAAAGCTGTTTTTTTCTGGAAATTGAAGTTTATTCTTTTTGTTGTAGATCTTTTACGATTGGTTCACGTGGCTGGAAAAGATACCACAAACCTCTTTGCTCCCACTGGTTGTATAAAGGCAGAGAGTGACATCTCGAGTGTGGCTGACGGGTTTAAGTCTCATCTCATCCGTCTGATTGGAAATCTGTGCTACAAGAATAAAGAAAACCAAGACAAGGTAAGGTGGTTTCTTAGTGTGTATCACACATGCATAGCATCGTTTTTGTGGGATAAAAGTTTGAGGTGTTTAGAAAGTAGCTTGTTAATTACACACCCTTTTTATTTCCACAGGTAAACGCACAGTGTCCTATTTGTTTGTATCAGGGTGTGTAGTATTGTGCTTTAGTGTGTTTTCTTTACCGTCTCACCTGCATTTGACTGGTCTTTCTTTCAGCCTCCGCCTTTTAACAACGGTCTTAGATTGTTAGATGTAGAAAACAGCCAGTAAAAAAAATGTAAAGATCCTAGAAAAATGTCTAGCACATGGTAGGCATTTAATAAATAGTAGTTACTGTTGATCATTAGCATAGGAAATGCCCTAGAAAGCCCTAATTTCCATATACATCTTTTGCTTATAGATGGTAATGTTGTACACCTTTTCTTCTAGGTATTTTGAAGTTCATGGGTTTTCATTTATGGATTAAGTCTTTGGAAACTCAGTCGGCTCCATTAGAAGCCTGTTTTGTGCTAAATAGCTAAGAGAGTAATTAAATAGGTAACGTGAGGTGATAAAAAAATATACAGTGAGACAGTTAGGCCACATGCTTCTGGTTGAGTTAGCCTACCTTGTATCTTCTACTTTGGGCAGAGTTTGTTTTGTTTCATCAAATAATATTCATCAAATTTGCTTCATCAAATAATCTGTGGCAGATTGTATTTTTCCAAGCTGGTTGCAAAAGTATCTGTCATCCTACATGTGCTTCTGTAATGTCACTTGTGGTGGTCAAGTTTGTGTGTCCACTGGCTGGGCCTGGCTGAGTGGCTGGGCAGCTGGTGGTAGTTCTTCCCCATGCTGAGACTGGCAGTCAGCTCCACAGTGGGTCCTACCACAAGCAGCTGAGTAGCTGCCTTAGGGATGTGGCCTGCTTCCCATATGTAAGAAACAGCTTATGGCACACTTGAACCCTGCATGTAGCCGAGTTGTTGTTCAGCAGCCTGCCGTGCTCTGCCAATTCTGGTACTTTCAATGGACTTGAATCAATGGCCTGCCTCGTGGTTTGGTAGCATTGGGACTGGGCCATTTATTTGTCGACTGTGGGTTTGCTAGCCTCAGCAGCCAGTAGCTGCCTAAGTGAAGAGATGCCTGTAGCTTCAGTGGCCGGGAGTCAGAGGCAGAGCTGAAGCCCAAGGTCGAGGGGCTTTCACACAGCCCCTAGAGCCTGGCACTGTGAACTTGGACTCCTAGCCTCCTGAACTGTAAGAGAATAAACTCTGGTTTATTCAGGCCGTCCCATTGGTGCTAAATCTTCTGTCAGAACGGCACTTGCTAACGAGGACATCACCTTACCACTCTACAGTCTGGAGTTGGCATCTGTTTCTCCAGCCCTTTGAATCCAGGTCGTATGACTGCTTTGAACAGGGCGGTGTTCGACCGTATACGTATTCAATACCGTATTCAAGATGCGGTGGGTTGACCCGGATATCCTGGCACATTTCTTAACTGGTCTGACAGATTCCATTCCTGGCCTCTAAGAAGCCATTTGCCTTGTAAGAAATGTAGATATTCTGAGGTCGCCGTGCTGTGAGTTGTAAGAAGTGTGAGTATCCTGGGGTCGCCGTGCTGTGAGCTGTAAGAACCGTGAGTATCCCGGGGTCGCTGTGCTGTGAGTTGCTGAAATTCATGAAAAACCCTGGAGGGTGAGACACAGTGAGGAGAGAAAGAGACTTGTTGAGGGAGGGAGACCAAGGCGCCCAGTGTGTGAGCAGGAAACTAACCTGGATGTGGGTTCTTCAGTCTGGTTTGTCCCAGCTGGTGCCACGCTGATCAGGACCCTGCCTTGTCAAGCCCTTTCCAAATTTCTGACCCACAACATTGTGAAACAGACTCAAAATTTGGGAACACTAAGTTGGGTAGATTCTACTTCTGTTAAGGTGCCTTTAAACTACTATGGCCCTGATCTTACTGCAAGTAACGGCTATAAGCTCTGAGTAAGTTACGGCTCTGTGAAGATGCAGACTGGCTGATCCTGGAGTTAATAGGAACAGTGTAGTGGGAAGAAGAAAACGGCATAGTGTGTCCTGTGCAGGACAGGTAATCTAGAGAGCATCTTCAGCCTTTCTGGTTTGAAGAGTCAAAGCACAGAGTTCAGGGCAGCTACAGCCATGGAGAGTGAGGGAGAATCCTTGACAGGAGAGAGCAAGCCCCGTGCTCTGTGTGTAAACTCCTAAATCTTTGGCTAATGCCTGAGTCACCCATGTAGGATAGGCTCCAAGAAACTAAGAATACAACAATTGAACTGAGGCTTGAGCTGCCACTGCAGAGTTCGTAATTTGAGTCTAACCCAGATAATCGCCTGTTAAAATGAAAATGTCAACACTCATTAGGGGACTATAACAGAATCTAGCGTTTCCACACTGTAACATTCACGGTGTCTAAGATACAATCCCAAATTACTTGACTACAGGAAAATGTGACCCAGACTCAACAGAAAAGAAAATGAATGGGAACTGACTGAGTTTACAGATGGTTGGATTTAGCAGCGAAGGATTTTAAAGCAACTGTTATAATTTGGCTCGAGAATGTAAAGGAAAACGTGCCTGTGATGAATGAAAAGACAGGAAGATCCCAACAGAGAAACAGAAACCATGAACAAGAATCAGATGGAAATTCTAGAACAGAAAAATACAGTATCTGAAATAAAAAACAGAATTCACTGAATGGGCCTAATAACTGTATAGAGATGACAGAGGAAAACAGTCAGGATACTTGAAAATAGAATAGTGGAAATCATCCAAACTGAAGAACAGTGAGAAGAGAAGATTGAAAACAAAATCGTCATTTTGAGACACTAAGTTTTCGGGTAGTTTGTTACACAGCAATCGGTAACTGGCACAATTCTGAGATGTGGCAGAGAGCTAGGCGACGTGTTCATTTATTATATGTGTGTAGTGCTTCTGCAGTTCTCTTCATTTTTGAGAAAATTATTAGACTGGTTTTGCAGGAGAAAGTTGAATGAAACAGTGAACATTTTGCCTTTTTAATGGCTTAATGACCAAGTCTGTCTTTCTTGAGGAGTACAGAAGAGAGGTGCTTTTCCTTGTGTTTAGCTGTTCTTTTGTTGCTGATTGGGATTGGCCTCTTATAGGAACAAAATGTAGAAACCCTTAAAAGGTTTATGAAATAACTCCCCAAAGTCAGGATCAGGTTGCACCGTGAGTAAACATGGAGTGTGCCCAAGTGCTGCTGTGGAGAGGTCAGTGGGGCTCCCAGGAAGTTGACAGAGTACTCCTTCATGGTGCAGTCACAAACAGCCCTGCAGCTTTCTGAGCAAACACTCTGGCGGGTGTGAAGGGCTCATTCTTTGAGGGTGAGAGTACCTCTTTTTCTTCTAGTTTCTCACTTACGCCAACAAAAGGCCTAAACCTGAAAACATTACCTCTGGGTCTCCTTTCTCCTTCCAGAGAATCTGACTCGACATCAAGATCTCATCCTGGAGGTGCTGGAAGCGTCTTTGTTCTTATAGTCAGATGCCGATTGCCAGCTGGGTGTTACGGACGCTGGCCTGGCTTGGTGTTGCATCCCAGGATGACTGCCAGTGCACTTGTGGGCAAGTGGAAGGCCGTGTAGCACGTCTGTGTCATTGAACCACTGACTCACTGCATTGTCTAGGTGGCTGTCCCCTTCGACCCACTGGGTCCTAAAGGAAAGTCGGCTCAGTTTCAGGTTCGCAGACTTCAGATCTGAGCTAGATCGGGTTTTGTATCTTCAAGCCTCATTTAGGTTCCTCCTTCACCCAGAAAAAAACACGAAGAGGGCTGATGGTTTGTTTCGTGTTCACTACGCACCAGCTTTGTTCCCAGTGAATTCCTTGTGTTACCAACCTTTGTGTCCGCATTGCAAAAGCAAATGTTGCTGGCCGTGTTTCTGAGAGCAGCCCTGCAGGTAATGCAGTGAAGGTGGCTGTGTCCGGCTGTGAACTCCAGAGCCTGAGCTCGTCCCTGTCCCATGGTGCTGCTGTTTGGGAGTTAGCCCGAGGTTTGGGAGGAAAGTGGGAACGAGACTTTCTGAAGGGTGGTGGACCCAGCATGGCAGAGGCTTGTGGTCCTGGGTCTTCTGGGCTCACCAGGCCCTGTAGGCCTCCTCTTGGTTCATGGGAACTTGGAGGGTGAGACAGGTAAGGTATCCTCTCTGAAACGCCCCTTCTAGGGGCATCTAGGGACCATCCTTGTTGCCTCTTAGAGCCAGAATCCCAAAACTTGTTAGGGCGCACGTTTTCCCAGAGTCGTCGTGTACCTCCTGATGCTGAGGTCTGCTCGGAAACTTGTCGAGCCCGCCCGGTCTTGGGCTTGTCTGTGCAGCCTCGCTCATTGCAGTCGGTGTGCGGGACCGTCCGCTGCGGGCCGCCTGTGCCTGGCCCTCTCAGCAGCACGCCGTTGCTGGAGCGTCAGGATACCTCAGTGAAGAGACATTGTTCTGCTCACCTTTGCTAAAAGACGACGTGAGAGCCTGAGAGCCTCAATGTGCTTTCCTTGAGCCAGCCGTGATCTGCTGGAAGCTGCGCGGGCACCTCTCGCTAGGGAGAGAAAGGCCACGCAGAGCTGCCTGCTAATAGTCAGTGGGGAGGGGACAGGTGAGCACTGCCGGACTGCCAAGAGTGTGGTGTCAAGGTGACGGCCTACCTTTTCATTTCCCATGTGCCCAGTATCTAAAAGCGCCAAGGGGTCTGGCCTTACGTTGAAAATCTGCTCAGAAGCATAGCGTTGCCCTCTGTGGGCAGAGCTTGGCTCCCTACCCGTGAGGGCCCGCGTGGGTTCCTGAAGGGTGCAGACGCCACTGTGCTTGCTTTCCCAGGTCGGCCAGGGAGCTTGTCCTGGCTGCCAGGCTTCCCTTGGTGTGCTCTGCTTACAGTGTCACGTCCTGGCTGCTGCGTCGGGGCTGGTGAGGTGGCGATTGTGTGATTCTCCTCGTGGGAAGTGCGTGGCTGCTGATGCTGTAAACATGAGGAGAGGGCTCGTGGG